CGACGAGCTGAGTCGATATAGCCCTGTCCGTCCGTCTGTCCGTCCGTCCGTCCATAAGAGTGCATCGATCTCAGAAGACATAAAAGCTAGAGAGCTAAAATTTGTCATAACTTTTTATCGAGAATAATCGAAAAATCGACTTTGTTTTTCAGCCTAATTTGAACACGTTTAGACCTGGAGACTCAAAATTTGCGTTGTGTATAAAGTTAATTGATACATAGATTTTGTTATTTACAGATTTGGGATACCACGCCCCCTTCACCACCAATTCGTAAAAAACTAGAGACTTGTGCTTTGGAATGTACACACATGTACAATTCTACTACAAGAGAAATTATTCAACAGATAAATTTTCATAATATTGCCCACACTGTAGCGCAGCCCAAGCGCTGTCGCTGCTAACTGCGCAGTCAGCAGACCGCGTGATATACGTGCGTGTGGATGCGTGTGTAGGCATGTGTGCATAAAAGAAGCGCTGAATGAGTAGAATATCAGCTTGGAAGGTTCAGGGTATCTCCTGCCTTCTTACTTGTTATTTCTGTCTTTGCCGCAGAGGTCCATAAAGGAATTCCAAATAAGTAGATTGACACTACTATAGCTTTACACACCATACAATTAATACGATTTCGTTTAAGTTCTTATGACTGAATACTTCAATTTTATTGAATATACAAAACATTTCTCAAGTCCATTAATTGAAATACGCCTAATGAAAGTTTAATCTAATTGAAATGTGAGAAACTGAAGTGTAGGTAAGCCATTCGCATATTGCATATATACCTTATCTCAATAAAAGAATTTTGAAATTGAATTAAAACTGATTATTTTTTATTTATGTTTAGTTTCCTTTGGTTGTTGTCCCACCCAGCGACTTATATAGCTCACGTGCCGCAATACGCATAGTCTTCCCATTGTTGTTGACGGGCAGCTTATCAATGAATCGAACACCGGCATGTAGATGTTTATGTGTGGCGACAAACCGTTTCGCTACGTGATTCATAATTTCTTCTTGGGTGATATTGCCGCTTGGACTTTTAACCACCAATGCGGCGGCCACATCGCCAAGCACATCATCAGGTATGCCCACAACGCAGGCATCGCGCACCTGCGGCAGCTCCTTGATCACATTCTCGATTTCAGTGGGCCAGTAGTGAATTCCTTGGAATTTAAGCATTGCCTTCTTGCGGTCAATTACATGTAGTAAGTTGTCATCATTGAAGTAGCCCAAGTCCCCGGTATGGACCCAGCCATCACTGTCCAGAATTTGGCTTGTGGCCTCGGGATTGTCATAGTAGCCATTCCAGTGCATGCCTGTGTGCACAAGGATCTCGCCGACCT